CTCACTGCAGCCTTGAACTCTTGGGCCCAAGCAATTCTCCCGCCTTGTCCTCCTGAGTAGCTAAGACTACAGGTGCACACACCACAATGCTTGGCTAATTTTTGTTATATTTTTTTTTTGTAGGGATTGGGGTGGGGGGTGGTCTCCTTATATTTCCCAGACTGGTCCTGAACTCTTGGCCTCAAGTGATCTTCCCACCTCAGCCTCCCAAAGTGCTGATTACAGGCTTGAGTTAGGAAAAGAAATCACTGATTTACCCAAAAGCTTGTACCTCTGGGAAGGGGTGGAGTCAGGATCGAAACAGACTTAGATTCTAAGACTGCTTTTTATTTTTATTTTATTTTGAGACAGTCTTGCTCTGTCACCTGCGCTAGAGTGCAGTGGCATGATCTCAGCTCACTGCAACCTCCACCTCCCAGGTTCAAGCAAGTCTCCCATCTCAGCCTCCTGAGTAGCTGGGATTACAGGTGCCCACCACTGTGCTTGGCTAATTTTTGTATTTTTAGTAGAGATGGGGTTTCACCATCTTGGCCAGGCTGGTCTGGAACTCCTGACCTTGTGATCCACCCGCCTTGGTCTCCCTAAGTGCTGGGATTATAGGCTTGAGCCACCGCACCCGGCCCAGCTGCTGCTTTTTTACTTGATACTGTTCTTGTTCTAAGTGCTGGAGAGAGAACAGTGAACAAAACGTAGGAAAATCAGTGCCCTCAGGAAGTCTACATTCTCAACCTCACTGCCTTTGCAGAGAGATGGGACACAGACAGCAGTAAATAAAGGTGGTCTCTGAAAAGGGCCAAGAGTCTAAGAACTTCCTGGGGCACATAAGGCCCTGTCCTAGCCTGCCTGACTGGTACTGGCTGCCCTCACTCACCCCTCCATGCCCCTGCACTTGCTTTTCCTTCCAACTGGAATGTCTTTCCCTGCCTTTTAAATTTATTTTTTATTTTTTGAGACAGGGTCTTGTTCTCTCACCCAGGCTGGAATGCAGTGGCACAATCACGGCTCACTAGAGCCTTGACCTCCTGGGCTCAAACGACCCTTCCACCTTAGTTTCCTGAGTAACTCTAAGTGCCACCCTACCTGGCTAATTTCTAAATGTTTTTTTGTAGTGACAGGGTCTCATTATGTTGCCCAGGCTGGTCTGAAACTCCTGGGCTCAAGGGATCTTTCTGTCCCAAAGTGTTGGGACTATGGGTAGGATCATTGCACCAGGCACTTCTGTGCTTAAAAATTTTTTCTGGCCGGGCACGGTGGCTCACACCTGTAATCCCAGCACTTTGGGAGGCCAAGTTGGGCAGAATACAAGGTTAGGATTAGAGACCAGCCTGGTCAACATGGTGAAACTCCATCTCTACTAAAAATACAAAAAATTAGCCAGTGGTGGTGGGCACCTGTAATCCCAGCTACTTGGAAGGCTGAGGCAGGAGAATTGCTTGAACCCAGGAGCAGAGGTTGCAGTGAGCCGAGATTGTTCCCCTGTACTCCAACTTGACTCCATCTAAAAAAAAAAAAAATTGTTTTTTCTTCTCATTTTAAATCTGGTATACTGCTGTCTGTCTTAAGGCTCAGCCCAAGTGTCATTTTCAAACTTTTCTCCCTCCACCCTGGATGAATATCTCCCTTTCTCCTTTCTTCCCCTTATCACACTGATTTGTAACTGTTTGCCTCTGTGCCTCCCCCAGCTGCAGGGAGGGCACAGTCTTGCTCATTTGTACCTCTGGACCTAGCACAGGCCTGCATGGGTCTCAGGTGCAGGATGTGGATGGGAGAGAGTTTGGTTGTCAAAGGGTTAAGGGGTGATTCCTGTGCACAGAGCAGGCCACCTCCCACCCCCTGGTTCTCTTCACAGATCAATAAGATGGAATGGTGGAGCCGCTTGGTGACCAGTGACCCTGAGATCAACACCAAGAAGATTAACCCTGAGAATTCCAAGGTGAGTCCTGGCTGGTTGGGGGAGCTTCAGCAGGAAGGTGAGGGCCTTAGGTGTTTCCAGAGCTTTATCCATCCCTGTCATTGCCTGCCCCCAGTTGTCAGACCTGGACAGTGAGACCCGCAGCATGGTGGAAAAGATGATGTATGACCAGAGACAGAAGTCCATGGGGCTGCCAACCTCAGACGAACAGAAGAAACAGGAGATTCTGAAGAAGTGAGCAATTCAGAGATGGGGTTGTGGGAGGGTTTGTGCCTTGGGGGCTTAGACAGCACTGAATGCATCATTGAGCCACCTTAGGAGCTTTCCAGCCGAGTTTATGGTATTGGCTTGCCTACTCTAGTCACTTTCTGAGGTTATCCTGAGGGCAAGGCCAGCTCATGATAGGAGGGAAGGGGTAACAGCCAGTCATTGCCACCTACAGGAAAATGATGCCAGTGTTGGCACTTCAGCTTCCAGCCTCTGGGCTCAGATGGGCCTCAGATAGGCTGGTGTTGCTCCTGCCCAGCCTGGCTCGGTGTTGCTGAGGTCTAAAGAGATTAGATTTGACACGGGGGTGCTAGGAGAAGGGACAGTTTTAGAAGAGAAGGATGAGCTGTTTCATCATCTTCCTGCTTCCCTTTCTCCAGGTTCATGGATCAGCATCCGGAAATGGATTTTTCCAAGGCCAAATTCAACTAGCCCCTATTTTTTCCTCCCTGAACTCTTGGGGCTGAGCTGCAGTCACCCAACTTTCTTTCCCACTCCTCTGGGACTTGTGAGCCTTGGGGCTTCGGGCAGGCATGGGACTGGCCCAGGCACACAGGTCCCAGGGTATCAGGAGAAAGGCTGGGGCTTGGGGTCCTGTCCTCCCCAGTTGGCCTACTGTTACACATTAAAGCAATTTGCCCAGCTCCTTCTGTGTCCTCTCTTGCCTCTGGCCTTTCTCTGGGGCACAGGCCCTTTATGGCTGCTGCTGGGAACTGGGAGTTTGCCTTCTAGCCTAGATTCTGCCATGTGACCTAGAGCAAGTCCTTGCCTCTCTGTGGTCCTCAGTTTCTTAAAGGGAAGATTAAAACAAGGCTTTTAGTCTCTGTATGATTCTGAGCAAAGGTTGAGTTTTTCTGGCTAGAGACTAGAACACATGTCACATTCTCAAAGGAGCACATGACCCAGCAGTTTTAAGACCACTGGACTTGCTGATCCAATTCTCACTTCCCACTGCAGTGTGCCTGCCCTCTAGCCCTCAAGTGTTCTTCAAGCTAGAGACTATTGTGTCCCAGGCAGAAGAGCAGCAAGGGCCTAGGTGACACTGCCTGGCTCGGGAGGAGTACCAGGGGAATGGCCCAGGCCTCAGATCTGTGTGTGTGGTACAGGGATCTTGCTAGGAGGACAGAGTAAAGTCCAGTGAGGCCCCACTGTTTGTGTCTCTAACCTGGACCTCTGCAGATTCTAGGCCTTCTCAGAGCCAGCTCCCAGGGCAGTACCAGAGCTGTAGAGGCACTCCCCTCTGCTCAGATCCAGCCCACAGAGCTGACCTCTAGAGGGTGGAGGTCAGAGTGCTTGGGCCACAGAAGTTACAGCAAGAATGTCTAGGTTGACTTGCTATGAGTGCTTAGTTCCCTGGCCCCTAAATTTCTGGAACACAGATGTCTCTTAGAGAATTACAGAATAGCTGAGCACAGTAGCTCATGCCTGTAATCCTAGCACTTTGGGAAGCCAAGGTAGGTGGATCACTTGATGTCAGGAGTTCAAAACCAGCCTGGCCAACGTGGGGAAAGTCCGTCTCTGCAAAAAATTAGCTAGGTGTGGTGGTGCACATCTGTAATTACAGCTACTTGGGAGGCTGAGGCAGGCAAATCACTTGAACCCGGGAGTTCAATGATCTCGGCCACTGTACTCCAGCCTGGGCAATAGAAAAATAGTCTCAGAAAAAAAAAAAATTTCACAATAGCTTGTTAAGGATTTCAGAGAGGCTATGTAGTACATAGCTTTGTCTTTTTTCCAAACTTAATAAACCTTTTTTTTTTTTCCTGGGAACGGAAATAGTGGTTTAGAAGGCAAGGTTTGGAAAATGGTGATCTAGGGCTGAGGCTAGAGTAGAGGGTCTATGGTGTCACTCTCCCACTCTGGACTCCTGTCCTGTCCTGTGGTCATTTCAATCTAATGTTGGCCTTGACCTGGATGAGACAGCAGAGTGTAACTATGAACACAGGGTCCTTGGAGTTAGAATTGGACCCTGTGTTCACAGCCCCGAGAGACCATCCTGTGTTTTTCTTAGGGAACTGGACAAGTACAGTTTGTCTAGTAGGTACTTGCCAAAGGGTGCCTGTGGGAACAATAAGAAGGGCTGTGGGGACAGCAGGTCAAATGGGGCCTGGAGTGGGGGGGATCCTTAACAACTTCCAGCTTGTTAATTAAGAATGGGCTGGTGGGCCTGCCCTGGTCTCTGCTAAAAGAGGAGTGGTAGATAAGCCTGTGTGTGAGGAGCAGCCAAGTAGGATCCTTTGAACTTAACTGGGCTCTGACACCTAAATAGGGGATTCTGTGTTTGCCCCAGGGAGATCCAGAGCCATGGTTACTAACTGCGTGTCCCCTAAGTTCCTTGACCTCACTGTGAGCTCCAGGTTTCCTCTCTGGAAGAATAATGTCCATTCTCCAAGGTTATTGGAAAGGCCAAAAAAGGTACTGGTGAAACCCACAGTTCTGCTGTTAGTACCACAGAGCTGGGGAGGGAAGCAGCAGGCCCAAGGCTAGGTAGGGCCAACAGATGATTGGGGTTTTGGGGAAACTGAGGGCTGGGCAGAAGCAGGCCAGCCTGCAGGCAGTGGACTGGGAGAGCAGAGACAAGCCTCCCTAGAAGAACCTCTCAATGTCAGAAACCATTTATCCAGCATTTCTCAGGTACAGACTGTGCTTGTTTTTTTATCTCCTGGAACTCACAGTGAACCTGAAATGGGGGCAGCATCACTCCCATTTTATCCTTTTGACTTCAACTGCAGGGCACTAAGCCAGGCTGGTCATCTATATCCTGTCTCCTGTTCTGAGCGGCAGTTAAGTGAGGCAGACTGGAGAGAAAAGACAGCCAAGATAAGCAGACAGATGCCAATTGCCTTTGTACTTACAAACTATGGTTGTGTTAACATACGGAACATCAACCATGAACCAGAACCAATTGCTTAACGTAACATAGAGTGGGCCCTGCCCACCCCCCAATACAATACATTTAAGATAAACTTTGAGCTGTTAAATTCCCCCAGGGAAGGAGAAGTTTGCATGATTGGTTAGGGTGGCAATATTATGAGGATGGAGTCAGGATTCACTCCCAGAAGGTAAGTCCTTACTTTCCATGATCAGGCCACCTGAAGACCATGAGCAGGAAGGAAGAGGCCCAGGCGGGGATCAGACCAGCTGGGGATGCAAGGGGACGCAGACTCCATGGCCCAGTGAAATGCACATGGTCCAGGAACCCAGTCAGCCAAGGCAGGAGGAACCAGAGTGGGCACTGCTTCAGGTCTAAGGCCCAGCCTCTCCCACAGGGGTTCCTGGTCCCACTCTTCATTCTGTAGGCTGTGCTTCTCCCAGAAAGGGTGTGACAGCTGGGCCTGGTGGGGGTTAGCAGTACACCTGGAGCAGGGGTGCCCCCGACGAGTCTGTGTCAGTGCCCTGGAAGGATGAGTCATGGCTGGCTGGGTACCCTGGTGGGAAGGAGAGGAGAGGAGGAAACAGGCTCAGGGGAAGGAGCTCATCCAGATCGCATGGCCAGGGAGAAGCCTGCTGAGAAGGAGCAGAGTGTGACTTGAGCCTGGGTCAGTCTGATCCTGGCTGGGTGACCCACTCGGTTTATTGACCTCTCTGAGCCCTAACCTCCCTTTCTGTAAAGGGATAATGAGCCACTCCCAGGGGATTATTGTCAAGGGCAAGAAGACCGCAGCAGAAACACACGGGGTGCCTTTCTAGCACCATGCTGGATGGTCCCCCACCCCCTACTTTCCTAGTCACCTGGACTTGAAGGTTGGGGTGTGATCACTTCCAGCTCACCCGTTCTGGGCACCTGTCCCTGCTTTAGGCCAGCTTGCCAGATGGGGATGGGTCTGTAGCTAAGGCCCTCATCCCTTTTTGATGTCATCCTCACCACCCCAAGAGAAAGCTGGGAAAGGAGCATGTGAGGGGCCCCTAGGGTAGTCCCCCACCCTCCACACCCCTCATTAGGTCAGGACCACACCTGTAACTCCATAAGGCCTCAGCTTCCGGGCAATGGCATCTGCAGTTGTCTCCTGGGAGATCTGTACTGTCAGCTCTAGAGAGGGAATGTGAGGCAGGCAGTGGTCATTATCATATTCTTTCAACCCTACTCCCCACTTTGTTCCCAGCCTGATGAGGGAGGAGCCACTCACTCCTGGGCAGGGCTAGAAAAAGGCCAGGCGCGATGGCTTATGCCTGTAATCCCAGCACTTTGGGAACCGAGGCAGGTGGATCACCTGAGGTCAGGAGTTCGAGACCAGGCTGGCCATCATGACGAAACCCTGTCTTTACTAAAAATACAAAAATTAGCCGGGCATGGTGGTGGGCGCCCGTAATTTACCCAGCTACTCGGTAGGCTAAGGCAGTAGAATCCCTTGAACCCAGGAGGTGGAGGTTGCAGTGAGCCAAGATCGCACCATTGCACTCCAGCCTGGGTAACAAGAGTGAGGCTTTGTCTCCAAAAGAAAGACAGCAGACAATGTGTGCATGTGCAGAGTGGTGGATGAGTGGGAGTTTTGGTTAGGCTAGAGCAGGTCAGAGGCCCAAATTCATGTGGGTCCCTAGGTTATGTTAACCAGGCCAGGCCTAGAAGCTACTCTGGCAGGTGACAGCAGGGGAGAGGAACGTTTTAGGTAAACTTGTTGAACCCAGAGGGCACCTTGTCCTTTCTGGGGACAGTAGCAATGGGCAGAGAGCTCTTCTAGGGTCTGCCTGCTCCTCTCAGCCTTGCTGAGACCTCACTGGGAAGGACCAGAGTGGGAGCTATGGAGTGGGGGATGCGAGAGTTGACAGGAGTAAGGGCAGGGACTGGCTGAGGGGTGGACCCACAGTGGCCAAAGATCCCATTCCAACCCTCTGCTGCTCTACCCCACAGTCCCATGGGGCCCCCACCTACCATCCTGGCTGAGACCTGAGCCCACCATGGTCTCATGGCCACTGTCAGGTGCAGCAGCAGTGGGGGCAGCAGCCCGAGTTGAACGCCCCTCCAAGGTCTGTGGGCGAGCACGGCTCTTTCGGGTACTGATGCGAATGATGCCACGTACCAGGCGGCCCTCAGCATCCTGCTCGTCCAGGTGGTAGTCCTGCGTGATGCTGCTGATAAGGTCCGAGATCTTACTGGTCTTCTCCAGGAACACAGTGTCTGACGTGCACTTGGCCAGCTCATCAATCTGGTGTACGCTGAACAGCTCTGTCAGCTTCTTGAAGATGAGCACATCGATCTCTCGGCTTGACATGGAGCCACTGCCCATCTCCGGCAGGTCCAGGTCTGACTCATGAAAGGAGTAGTACTCCTCGGAGCCACGAGGACTGCTGGCGAGGGTGCTAGGCAGACTGTGTCGCATGGGTGGGGGATCGGCCAGTGGCTCCTTGCAGCAGGAGTCCGCATCAGGGGCTGGGGAGGTGGCCCTGGGATAGGGGTACACAGGGATGCCTTTAAGCTTAACGTCGGGGTAGCTGAAGCTGCTGCCCACAGTTGACTTGAGCCGCTTGTCATCCCGCCGGCTGGGAGGTGCACGGTCAGGGCTGGGGGGCACTCCATTGTGCTCCTTGACCCAGTTGGCTTCAGCAGTCCCCTCAGGGGAGTCCCGAGAAGACAGGCAGAGGCTGCAGCCCCGCACACAGGCTCCACAGCGCTGGAGACAATCCCGGCAGCGGCGGAAGCAGAAGGCAGCCCGACACCACTCCCATACCCAGGGTCTCCAGAGCAGGCAGCAGGCAGGGGACTCAGTGGCTGACTCAGCAGAGCCAGAGATGAAGGTAATGCTCTCTGGCCCATGGTGACCAGGGTCCTTGGGGTCTGGTCTACGGGTACGGCGGCTTGGTGGGGGCTGAGGTGGTTTATCATGTGTCTCCAGACATAGCTCTGTTGGCTGCTCCCAGGGTCCCAAGCGTGGAGGCCCAGATGCTGGGCGGGGGTGTCCAGGGCGGGGCATGGCTCATTGCATGGTTTGCAGCAGCCAGGCACCTGCGGGGGAGAGGCCACAGAGTCAGGATCAGAGGTCAGGGACAAATTCCTGGGCTGACTTGAGCAGCTGCACACTTCTAGTTTCTGAGAGGCCTAGGATGTGGATGGACCCAAGTATGCCCATAAACTCTCATCTCTTGTGGCCCTCCCTCCACAAAGAGGAAGTCTCTGTGGTCTAACCCAGATTTCAAAATTCCCTGTGACTTACACCTATTGGGATGGCTATGAAAGGTAGAACATCTTATCTGAAATGCTTAGGTCCAGAAATGTTTGGATTCTGGGTTTTGGATTGTGTACATTATACTTACCTGTTGAGCATTTCTCATCCAAAAATCTGAAATGCTCCAATGAGCATTTCCTTTAAGTATCATGCTGGTGCTCAACTTTCAGATTTTGGAGTGTTTTGGATTTTTGGATTAGGGATACTCAATCTCTCAATCTGTATTTAAAAATAATCTCCCTTCCCCCAGAAAATAACAAATGTTAGCAATAACGTAGAGAAATTGGAACCCTTGTGCATTTCTGGTAGGAATGTAAAATGGTGCAGCTGCTATGGAAAACAGTATAGTGGTCCCTCTAAAAACATCGAATTCCCTCTTGACCCAGCAATTCCACTTCTGATTACATACCCAGCCTAATTGAGAGCAGGGACTCAGATGTTTATACGAATGTTCACAGCAGGATTATTTACAATAGCCAAAAAGTGGAAACAATCCCAGTGTCTACCAATAGATGAATGACTAAACAAAATGTGGTACATACATATAATGGAATATTATTCAGCCTTAAAAGGGAAGGAAATTCTTTTCTTTTTCTTCTTTTTCTAGGAATCAGCAATATATGTCAAGAAATAGGGAAGGAAATTCTTATACATGCTGCAACATGGATGAACCTTGAAGAACATACTAAGGGAAATAAGCCAGAGGCTGGGCACAGTGGCTCACGCCTGTAATCCCAGACCTTTGGGATGCCAAGGTGGGTGGATCACGAGGTCAGGAGTTCCAGACCAACCTGGCTAACACAGTGAAACCAATTAGCCGGGCATGGTGGTATGTGCCTGTAGTCCCAGCTACTTGGTTGGGGAGGGAGTGCAGTGGAGACAGGAGAATCGCTTGAACCCATGAGGCGGAGGTTGCAGTGAGCTGAGATTGCGCCACTGCCCTCCAGCCTAGTTGACAAAGTGAGACTCTACCTCAAAAAAAAAAAAAGAAAAAATGAATAAGCCAGACACAAAAGGCCAAATAGGCCAGGCTCAGTGGCTCATTCCTGTTATCCCAGCAATTTGGGAGGCCGAGGTGGGTGGATTGCTTGAGCCCAGGAGTTTGAGACCAGCCTAGACAACATGGTGAAAACCCATCCCTACTAAAAATACAAAAATGAGCCAGGCATGGTGTTGCACACCTGTTACCTGAGGGACTGAGGTGGAAGGACCACGTGAGCCTCGGAGGTGGAGGTTGCAGAGAGCTGAGATTGTGCCACTGTACTCCAGCCTGGGCGACAAAGCCAGTCCCTGTCTCAAAAAAAAAAAAAAAAAAAGGACAAATATTGTAAGATTCCATTTATATGACATTTCTAGAATAGTCAAATTCACAGAAACACAAAATAGAATGGTAGTTGCCTGTTGCTGGGGCAGAGGGGAACAGGGAGTTAGTGTTGAATGGGTAGGAAATTTCAGCTGGGGAAGATGAAAAAGTTCTGGAGATGGACGGTGGCAACAGTTGTACGACAATGTGAATGTATTTAATGCCACAGGAATGATGCTTAAATATGGAAATGAAGCTTAAATGTTTTTTTGTTTTGTTTTTTCGTTTTGAGACAGAGTCTCACTCTGTCGTTGAGGCTGGAGTGCAGTGGCGCCATCTCGGCTCACTGCAACTCTGCCTCCTGGGTTCAAGCAATTCTCCTGCCTCAGCCTCTTGAGTAGCTGGGATTATATGCACACGCCACCACACCCAGCTTATTTTTGCATTTTTAGTAGAGACAGGATTTTGCCATGTTGACCAGGCTGGTCTTGAACTCCTGACTTCAGGTGATCTACCCACCTCGGCCCCCTAAAGTGCTGGGATTATAGGTGTGAGTGACGGCGCCCAGCCCTTAAATGTGATTTTTTTTTTTTTTTTTTTTTTTTTGAGACAGTCTTGCTCTGTCACCCAGGCAATGGCATGATCTCAGCTTACTGTAAATTCCACCTCCCAAGTTCAAGCACTTCTCCTGCCTCAACCTCCTGAGTAGCCGGGATTACAGGCGTGCGCCACCACACCTGGCCAATTTTTGTATTTTTAGTAGATATGGGGTTTCACCATGTTGGTCAGGCTGGTCTCGAACTCCTGACCTCATGATCTGCCCGCCTCAGCCTCTCAAAGTGCTGGGATTAGAGGCATAAGTCACCACACCAGTGGCATTAGGGTCTTAAACTGGGGGTGTGTGAGAAACATGAGACTGGGCATCAGGATATCTGTGTTCTAGTTACAGTTCTGGCCCTAGTCTAATCCCAGATCTGGCACTTGGGAAACTCAGTGCCACATCCCTAAAGAGGGCCATCATTATCTCTCACCCAAATAGAGTCACAGCCCCCATTCTGGCCACTTCCATTCCCTCCTACTTGCTGTAGCAAGTAAAAACTTAAAAATGTTTAGAGGAACCTGGCAGATACCACTTTAATTAAATGATCAAAGATAATATCACCATAATGGGATGAACTGACATCATGTTCCTCCTGATACTATGTACTAAGAAGGATACAACTCACGAAGTGTTCTTGCCAAAAATGCATAACCTGAATGTAATCATGAGGAAATAATAGACAAGCCCAAGTTCAGATACATGACAACTAAATGCAATGTGATCCTAGATAGGATCCTGGATTAGGAGGAGAAATTGGAACTTGGATAATGTAGATAACTGGTGAAATTTGAAAATAGGCTATATGTTATTTGATAGTATTATATTACTGTTAAATTTTCTGAACTCAATTACGGTGGTTATATAATGTAAGGAAACATACACTGAAACACTTGAGGATAAAGGGACAGGATATCTGCAAGCTAATCTCAAATGTTTCAAACACACAAAAAACAGAAGGTATGTGTGTGTAGAGAAAGTGAGAGAGGGAATATTAGCCATTGGTAAATGGGATGTGAAGGATACAATTCTTTCTTTTTTTCCTTTTTTTTTAAGAGATAAGGTCTCCCTCTGTCATCCAGCTGGGAGTGCAGTGGTGCAACCATAGCTCAATGAAGCCTTGAACAATTGGGCTCAAGTGATCCTCCTGCCTCAACCACTTGAGTAGCTAGGACTATATAGGTGCATACTGCCCTGCCCCACTAGTTTTTTGTTTTGTTTTGTTTTTTGGTAGAGATGGGATCTTGCTATGTTTCTCAGGCTGGTCTTGAACTCCTGGCCTCAAGTGATCCTCCTGTCTTCGCCTGCCAAAGTGCTAGGATTACAGGCATGAGCCTCTGTGCTCGGCCTAGGATACAGTTCTTTTTTTTTTTTTTGAGATGGAGTTTTGCTCTTTTTGCCCAGGCCTGAGTACAATAGCATGATCTTGGCTCATCATAACATCCACCTCCTGGGTTCAAGCAATTCTCCTGCCTCAGACTCCCAAGTAGCTAGGATTATAGGCATGTGCCACCATGCCCGACAAATTTTGAATTTTTAGTAGAGACAGAGTTTCTCCATGTTGGTCAGGGTGGTCTTGAACTCCTGACCTCAGGTGATCTGCCCACCTCGGCCTCCCAAAGTGCTGGGATTACAGGTGTGAGCCACCACGCCCGGCCCTAGGATATAGTTCTTTAACCATTCCTATAACTCTTCAACCCAGTCTCCTGGCCCTACTCAGCACTCCTTCTCCAGGGACCCTCTGGAACCACAAGTCAGAACCCTCTGGAACCACGGCCTTCTGCTGTGCTGTCAGCTGGGTCAGCCTTGTACCCATTGTTTGAGAATAAGTCTATGTCCCAAGGACCATGACCCTAAAGTGCAGGGACTGTGTGTAATTATTTTCTGCCTCAGTATCTGGAACAGGGTTTGGTACACTAGGTGCCTCGGGGCTAACACATTCCAGGTTGCCTCAGGGTAGAACCAGGACCATTGGGTAGAAAGAAAAAAAAGACTTAGGCTCTAGGTTGACCAGAGTATGGATGGGGGATAGGAGGCAAGGGGGGAGTGAAATCCCATCTGCAAAGGTATCCCAGCTAAAATTCTAACAGGTCACTTTAAATTCCCTTGCAATCTGAGGCAAGTGGTTAAAAAAATCTTTGCTTTAGTTCAAGAAATGTGGGGTTGGGTATGGATTCATACATTCATGCAATTAACAGATATTTACTGAGGGCCCACTGTGTGCCATTTTTTTTGAGACAGAGTCTCACCCTGTCACCAGTGCTGGAGCGCATGGGATGATCTTGGCTCACTGAAACCTCCGCCTCCTGGGTGGAGGCAATTCTCATGCCTCAGCCTCCCAAGTAGCCAAGTAGCTGGAATTACAGGTACACGCCACCATGCCCAGCTAATTTTTTTGTACATTTAATAGAGATGGGGTTTCGCCATATTGGCCAGACTGGTCTCAAACATCTAACCTCAAGTGATCTGCCTGCCTCAGCCTCCCAAAGTACTGAGATTACAGACAAGCTACCACACCCAGCCAGCTGTTCTAAATTCTATGGATAAGGTGATAAAACAGACAAAATCCCTCAACCTCAGGAGTTTACACTCTAGTGAAAGAGTTGATTATTGATGGCTTACACTGTTCTAAGTACATCAGAGGTAAAAACCTATTTTCACAACCCTCTTTGTAATATTATTACCTGTATTGTTATACTGAAGCACAGACAGGTTAAATAAGTTGTCCAAAGCCATACATCTGTCTGTACACAATCGGCCTGGCCCCAGACTCTTATCCACTACCCCATCCCATCTATTACTTGGGAGGAAAAAGGCAGTCAAAGGTGTCAGCTGCCAGCTCCATGGACCAGTGTGTGCCCAAAGAGAGCCCATGCTGGGAGCCCTGTCTTCCAGGCTCAGGCCTTCAGGAGAGTGGGCAAATCTACAGTTAACCCCGCTGAGCTCGGAGGTACCTGGACTCCTGAGGATGGGCTGGCTATTGCCTTCTCCCCAACCTCCAAAGTTTTATGGCTCGCTACTATCGATTAAATTAATCCAACGAGTATTTATTGAGCACCTACAAGGTGCCCAGCACTGTGCTAAATTCGGAGAAAACAGCAGTGAATGGGCCAGTAGACTTTCACCTTATTTAACTCTCACAATTGCTCTGTAAATAAATAGTAAATCTCCATTTCACAGATCAGGAATCTGAAGCTCAGAAAGGTGAATTGAGTGGCCCAGAGACGCCTAGCAAGAGAGGGTTGAAAGGATTTGCACTGTGGTGTGCCAGGCTCTGGAGCCTGCATACTTTGTGTGTGCCACACATCTCCAGCAGTGGTGGGATGAGAAGAGAGGCAAGACCTGGGATAAGGACAATGCCAGGTCTCAGTTCCCCACTTCCCCCGAGCCATTAAACCCTCCTGAAGTCAAACTCGGGCTGATTCTTCCAGGCTGTATCTCCCCAACCCTGCTGCTGCCACCACTCCCCCCACCCACCCCATCCAATCCTAGGAACCCTGGTCACTTGGGCTCCCAGTCCCTATTGTGGCTTGAGGCAAGATTCTTAACTTCAGTTTCCTCATCTTTAAATGAGGAGAGATTAGTATCTTCATGCCCGGCAATCCCGTGAGATTTAAATGAAATATTGCCTGCAGTGGGCTTCCCTCAGTGGCCTGGTACCTGGGAGGGGCTAGGTCACTGGGCGCTCTAAGGCACCGCAGGAATCTTCTCGGGAGTCAGACGGTACCGGCCCGACCTCCCTAGATTTCTCGTTGATGCTTCCCTCTTCCGCCTTAGTCTTGCGAACACACATACACTCGGGGCTATGTGTCCCCTTCTCCCAGCGTTCCCACGACGGGCCCGGTCGCGCCAGCCTCTGCCCCCAGCCCCGTGTCAAGCCTCGGACACCCGGCTGGGAGGAGCACCCCAGTCCCGCTCGAGAAACAGCCGTCGGCTCAGTGTACCCTAGGCACTCATATCCGCGGGCACCAAGTCCTCGGGACAAGGAAGAACCAGACCCTGGCACTGCCCCCCGGGCTGCCACAACCCCTGCAACAGCAGTGCCCTTGGGGCGAGCACTACTTTTTCCAGCTGCAAGGGCCCTGCCCTGCGGGCGGACCCAGCCTCCCTCCGGTCCCGACGCTGTTCCTCGGGGTGAGCCAGCGCTTGCCGGGTCCCTACTCTGACCCCGGGTGAGCGCGGCCCCACAGCCAGCCAGTGCAGCCCTGAGGGCGAACGCAGCCCCTTACCCCATTCTGCGCGCTCCGTCCGGGCGCCCGCTCAGGCCGCTCTCCCGCCCGGCCCGCGCACCCCGGAAGTAGGAGGGTGGCCCCCGACGAACCGGGCCCGGGACCCTCCCCCGTCCGGGCGCAGCCTCGAGGGGCTCCCCACACCAGCGCCGCCCTGGTTTGCGCCCCCTCGGGCCCGCGCGGGGCTTACCTGTCCCGCCAGGTGAGCCGCCTCCGGTTCAGCCTCTCCCCCGCCCCCTCGCCGCTCACCTGGGGCGCAGGTAAGCGACTCGCGGGAGCGCTGCACGGGCCGCCGCTAGGGACACACTTCCTGCCTCCGCGAAGCGCCGTCGCGCACCTGGGCCGAGGCCCCGCCCCTGGGCTTCGTGGAGCTGCGCGGCGCTTCTCCGGTGCTCGGCCGGTTTGACCTAGTCGGGGTAGGTGGGGTGTGGTTAGGAGGGGTCGAGAGGCGCTGGGGCTCAGTCTCCTCTTCTGTTCGACAGGCTGGTGGTCCTCTTAGTCTCTGACTACCTGTGGAGTGCCTGCCCGGCCATAAAGCTCCAACTTAAAGGGAAGCTCTCTACTGGGAAGCTTTCCCTGACCCTAAGTTTGTTTTTCTGTTGTACAGAGCAGTCCCTGGGATCAGCACACTGTCGTTTTCTAGTCTTCTGTCTCCTTCAGCCTCCTGCCTTACAGGGTTTGGTCTTGTTCCTCTGCGTTTCTGGTGCTCAGCACAGGTCCTGGCACAAATAGGTGCTCAACAAATATTTCCCACTGAATGAGTGGCTGGGTCCCAATTTCTCCCTTTGTCCTGAGGCAGAACTGGGAGCCTGGGCCGCTGGTCAGTTTATCTTTTCTTTTGTTCAGAGAAATCTGTAGGTAAAGACAAGAACCTCAGCTCTGGGGCCCCAAGTAGGGTAGAGGAGGGGGCCAGGATCAGAAGTGGTGGCCATGGTCACTACATCCAAAGTTGGTCTCTCTGCAAGAGGCAACACCTTGGACTGTCAAGAAGGCAAGGCTCAGACTATTCTGGGTTACTGTTCCCCTTAATATTAATAACAACTCTAGCTGGGAGTGGTGGCGGGCACCTGTAATCCTAGCTACTCGGGAGGCTGAGTCAGGAGAATCGCTTGAACCCGGGAGGCAGAGGTGCAATGAGCCAAGATTGCACCTTTGCAGGCCAGGCAACAAGAGTGAAACTCTCTCTCTCTCTCTCTCTCTCTCTCTCTCTCTACACACACACACACACACACACACACACACACACACACACATATGTATATATATATATATATATATATCAATAACTTAATAGCATTAATAAACAAGTGACTTTTAGGGAGCATCCCCAGGAACAATGCATGCTGAAGCCCTTAACCTGTGATATGGGTCAGGTATTATCATTTCCATTTTACAGAAGAGGAAACTGAAGCTTAGAGAGGGGACATTGCCGGGCGCGGTGGCTCACCCCTGTAATCCCAGCACTTTGGGAGTCCGAGGCGGGTAGATCACGAGGTCAAGAGATCGAGACCATCCTGGTCAACATGGTGAAACCCCATCTCTACTAAATATACAAAAAATTAGCTGGACATGGTGGTGCATGCCTGTAATCCCAGCTACTCAGGAGGCTGAGGCAGGAGAATTGCCTGAACCCAGGAGGCGGAGGTTGCAGTGAGCCGAGATCACGCCATTGCACTCCAGCCTGGGTAACAAGAGTGAAAACTCCGTCTCAAAAAAAAAAGAGAGAGGGGACATTGTTTGCTCAGGCAGTTGGCACAAACTGACTTTGGGCAAGGCACTTTCCTTTTCTAAACCTAATCTCTGGAGATAATAGTACCTCTTTTCAACTGGGAGGATTAAAGGAGGTCATGGATGCAGCAGGAAGGTATCACTGGGGTGCATTAGGCATAGGTGTTCAATTTCCAACAGATACCCTCCACCCCGGTGCCTCCCACCACATCTTGTCCACATTCCCTCCAGAGGAAAGTGGCAGATTGTATTCTTATTTGGAGCTCAGAGAATGAGTCACATCCTCACTTCACAGTCACATCTTGTGCAGTTGAACATCTGTGTACTCTAAGACCTAGCAAGTCCATTCCTATGGTACAGCCAAGCCACAGTAAGCTCTTGTACAATGCACCAGGAGAGAATGTATACAAGAATGTTAGTAGAAACATTGTTTACAGTAGCCCCAAACCGAAAACATGTAAATGCTAATGACAGGACATAGAGAAACGTGGGCTATTCATCCAAAGGAATTAATTATAGAGCAGTAGAAAATAAATTTTAAAAAGCAACATGGGTAGATCATGATAATATAATATTGAATGGAAAAAAGGCAAATCTCAGAAGACTACATATAGAATGACATCCTTTTTATATGATTCAAAAATAACTAGAACTACTGCATTTAAGCATAATACTAGATTGAACCATATGAATTTGCTGTTATTTGACCCATTTTGATCTAAAAGTAATGGCAAATTCATGTGCTTCAGCGGAATTTATATGTGAAAAAAACTATATGTGAAATGCAGTGATGTGATCTTGGCTCACAGTAGCCTCTGCCTCTTGGGTTCAAGAAATCCTCCTATCTCAGCCTCCTGAGTAGCTGGGACCATTATTTTGTTTTTCATCATTTACTTACTTGTTTTTCTTTTCTTTTTTTTTTTTTTAATTAAGGTATAATTGACCTGTAGTAAAATTCACCCTTTTTAATGTACAGTTCTGTGAGTTTTGAAAAATGCATACAGTGACACAACCGCCACAGCAATCAAGATCAGTTTAATCACACCCTAGAAATTCCCCTGAACCCCTCTGTAGTCAGTTCCTCACCTTGACTCCAGTCCTTAACAACCATTGATCTTTCTTCTATATCCATAGTTTTGCTTTTTCCAGAATTTTAGTTGTAAAAGTACAGAATTGCTCGACAAAATTGTAATTCTGTGGTACCTAAAATGCTGTAGATTAATAAGAATATGATGACCGAAGCAACTCAGAGCTACTTTCCCTTGCTTAGAAAGAAAAAAAAGAAGGAAGGAAGAAAGGAAGGAAGGCAGGAGGGAGGGAGGGAGGGAAGGAAGAAAAGAAGGAAGGAAGGAAGGAAGGAAGGAAGGAAGGAAGGAAGGAAAGAAAGAAATATGATCTCTGAATCTCTGGCTATGCTTTCTGGCGAGTGTTTTGTGAAGTGTTTTGCAATAGGCACAAGGTAGCTCTTATTATGGCGAGTGTTTTGTGAAGTGTTTTGCAATAGGCACAAGGTAGCTCTTATTATTTCTAATCAGATCCACACTGAAACTTCCCCTTTCTCTGCTCCTCTCCCTCCCTCACTCAAAGACACTGGGCCCTGTTCCCAGGGGTCCTTCCCATTGCCACCATGCATATTCAAAAACTGTCAAAAATCAGTGACACTCTTAGGCCAGGCACAGTGGCTAACACCTGTAATCCCAGCACTTTGGGAGGCCAAGGCGAGTGGATTACCTGAGGATCAGGAATTCAAGACCAGCCTGGCCAGCATGGTGAAACCCTGTCTCTACTGAAAATACAAAATTAGCCAGGCCTGGTGGCACATGCCTGTAATCCCAGCACTTTGGGAGACTGAGGCTGGCAGATCACCTGAGATCAGGAGTTTGAGACCAGCCTGGACAACATGGTGAAACCCCGTCTCTACTCAAAATAGAAAAATTAGCCAGGCATGGTGGCAGGCATCTGTAATCCCGGTTACTCAGGAGGCTGAGGCAGGAGAATGGCTTGAACCTGGGAGGCAGAGGTTGCAGTGAGCCAAGGTCACACCACTGTACTCCATCCTGGGTGACAAGAGCAAAATTCTGTCTCAAAAACAAAAACCAATGACACTCTAGATACATACCTAAAAGAATAAAAAATAGGGCCTCAAACACATACTTGTATGCCAGTGTTCATTGCAGCGTTATTCCTAATAGCCAAAAGGTAGAAACAACCCAACAGAGGAATGGATAAACAAAGTGTGATGACCGGGTGTGGTGGCTTATGCCTATAATCCCAGCACTTTGGGAGGCCGAGGTGGGTGGATCACAAGGTTAGAAATTCAAGACCAGCCTGGCCAAAATGGTGAAACCCCAGGTCTCTACTAACAATACAAAAATTAGCCAGGCATGGTGGCAGGCGCCTGTAATCCCAGCTACTCAGGAGGCTGAGGCAGGAGAATTGCTTGAACCTGAGTGGCAGAGGTTGCAGTGAGCTGAGATTGCGCCACTGCACTCCAGCCTGGGTGATAGAGTGAGACTCTGTCTCAAAATATATATATACAAAACAAAAAAACAAAATGTGGGCCGGGCGCGGTGGCTTATGCCTGTAATCCTAGCACTTTGGGAGGCTGAGGTGGGTGGATCACCTGAGGTCAGGAGTTCAAGACCAACCTGGCCATCAGGGTGAAACCCCATCTTTAAAAAAGAAAAATAAAAAAGAAAAAAAATGTGATATATATATATGTATGTGTGTATATGTGTGTGTGTGTGTGTGTATGTATATATATATACAAGGGAATATTTTTCAGCCATAAAAACAATGACGTTCTGACACATACAACAAGAGGAATGAACCTTGAAGACATTATGCTAAGTGAAATAAGCCGGACACAAAGGACACGTATTGCATGATTCTCACTTACATGAAATATCTAGAATAGTCAAATTCACAGAGACAGAAAGGTTAGCAGTTATCAGGGGCTGGATGGAGAGGGGAATGAGAAGTTATTGCTTAATGGGTACAGAGTCTCTGTTTGGAGTGATAAAAGTTGTGGAAATAGATAGTGGTGATGGTTGCACAACACTGTGGATGTAATTAATGCCACTGAATTTATACTTTAAAGTGATTTCAATGGCAGATTTTATGTAGAAGTATTTTCCCAAATTAAAAAACAAATAATACCACATAATTTTTATTAGTCAATTTAAGTAAGTAACGAAACAGGCCAGGCGTGGTGGCTCATGCCTGTAATCCCAGCACTGTGGGAGGCCAAGATGGGTGGATCACCTGAGACTAGGAGATTAAGACCAGCCAGACTGACATGGTGAAACTCCATCTCTAATGAAAATACAAAAAAATTAGCCAGGCATGGTGGCACATTCCTGTAATACCAGCTACTTGGGAGGCTGAGACAAGAGAATTGCTTAAACCGAGATGGCGGAGGTTGCAGTAAGCTGAGATTGTGCCGTTGCACTCCAGCCTGGGTGACAAAAGTGAAAATCTGTCTCAAAATAAATAAATAAAATAAATAAATGACAAACCCCTTCCTCACAAAAAACCCAGTGACACTCTTTGAAGCAAAACAGAGTACCTTATAGGTCCAGCATTCAGCTGGCAAAGGAAAGAGAGATCTACTGGAGTG